TTCGTCAATTAGTTCTAATTGAATCTTCAGCATTCACTAATGATCTTCATTGAATGACAAGACGAAGTTATGATTGGCATAGTGAATATATATATATATTTCAAGTTTGGAATCATGATATATATATACCTGTAAATAATGAAATAAACAGATTCAATGTTAACGAATGCTCTGTGAAATGCGCACAAGTGTGTTTTATATACTGACTGCATTAATACTTCTAACATGTTAACATGCTAAATGCCACCTCTCATTAAAAGCAAAGCGTATGCTCTTTGCTTAACTGCAGTGTATGGGCTTCTAATGAGAAAGGTAATACACGCAAGCCATTATCAAAAGTTAAGTTTCATGTCAAACAATAATAAAATTAGAATTCACGAAAATTACATTGCAGGGGTTAAAATACAGAATAATTTAACTGAAATTCAGTAGTAATTGTACATTTTACGAACAACTGTGTTGAGGGAATACATTTCTTTGCTCATGCATATCAAATTTCATATCATTAATTTAGTAAAATGAATCATCTTTATTTATTTCTTGAGTTTATAGTGGCGTACCCCTAAACATATTTGTTCATTGTTAAGAGGTAGATAGAAAGTAGCAAATTATAAAGCCATAAATAATTCAAGTGGTGTTTTATAAACTAAGTTTGACTCCTTTGTAATATGTATGTTTGACCGACTAACATTTCTCAAACAAGATGGAACGCACGTCGAGGATTCCACTGCTAGTTTACGAAGCCAACCGCAATAACAGCATGTTAACGCACCACCACAACATGGAAAGGCTGCCACTTTGTATTGTGGTCAATTATTTTTCATCTTGCAAGTATTCATTTTCATTGTACAAAAAAAGTTCTACATTCCACCTATATTTCAACAATCAAAAGATCAATAGTATATTTATTTAACATGGTGAAAGGTTAAACATGAAGATTAAAAAACAACAAGTCGGAAATAGCTTTTTCACATTTCGATATTGTTTTAAACGTGTGCATTTTTGTAACTGAAAAAACTTGACTGTATAGATTTCAATTGCATGTTCGGTATGCAGTATAATGCTAAATTTAATCGTTCACTTAAAATACAGCACAGGTACACAACAAGTCAATTCTGTTCTTCCCACTGATTTTTGTCATTATGATCCTCTTGGATACTGAGTGGAACATACGGCTTCAATAGGGGATCTCCGTTTAACTTCGATCTGTGCAAACCCTTTTAGCTGGCTCTTTGATTGCCTACTGGCTCTCATCTTGTCCCTAGGAAACACGTCTTACTCGTCAATATCCATCCGCGTTCTACTCTGGCGATGGCCTAACACTGGGTTTAACTGAACAGTCTTCTTAGCATTTTTCCAACCTCTCTTTTCTTTCGTCTGCATATAGCAGTAGCTTCCTGATTGTTTTTTCGCCAGGATTTTCTGTGTAGTTATCTTTTTTGGCCGGCTGTCTGGACGTCAGAGTGGAGCGAAGATAGCTACTGATGCTTACTGTGATGCGCGAGCCAAATTACTGACCCATAAAGAAGAATTAATTGACTTGACATTATTGTTAAAGTCCAGATTTTCCTGACTTCAGGAGACTTCCGAACTGATTCCAAAGGGACGAAATCTGCCTCGCCTTTCTGATTCTGGTTTGAACACCTTCATCCGTGTCACCTGTAGTCGAAACTATGCTTCTTAGATGAGTGGAGGAAGTGGCCTCTTTCAAATTTCGTCGTGTTGAAACTGAGTGCTGCTTTTAGTATTCCAGCTAAATGATCAGACCAAAACATTCAGTCTCTATTGTTATTTCGTTTCCTAGCACTCACGCTTCAATGATGTCAGGAGATTGACACGATGTTATTTGGTTGATGATGACGAGCAGTGTCATCAAGGATGTGCATTTTCTCTAGTAAATAACGCTTTAGAGTCTGAAACAATGGATGTTACATTCGAATTTCAGTGAGAACACTATCACTCACTGCAGGTTATAGGTACATCCGGAGGACAAATGAGACAAGTAAAACGAAACGCACAAACTGGATTCCACTGCTAACCACTCTCTACTGAATAACATAATACTGTATGTATGTCTACCAAAAGTTCACTGCAATAGGTATTCATGAATTCCGCCAGTCAAGAATACCTCAGGACCACGTCATTGTGGTAATCAGTCACCTGATTTTCAATATCTCACCAAAGCAGAATTTGCCACTTATGTTCACTGGAGATGTTTAAATTCCTCAAATGTAGAAATAAGAAACAAGTGACAGGTAGCCTTCAAATACACAGAAATATCAAGCAGCTGTGGAGATGTGGTTAGGAGACCTAATGACTTTCCTCTCAGCCAGAGATTCCTGAGCTCGAATCTAGCTCCGTCTTCAGCCTTAGCAACTAAGAAGTATCCTTAATCCTCGCATACGGGGGATGAACACGCAGTTCCACATATCCTAATCAATATTTTTAAAGACTTACTGAAACAGCACCCTCCACAATAACTTCACTTCTATGATTGCAAGACACTTTCTGTATCCTCATCTTCAGTATTTCTCAGTGTGACGAAGTTCAGGATAAATTCGGCATGAATTAAGCAGTATAATTTCATTCATTTAGAGAAATAAGCGAATTCATAGATAAAAAGGTGTGTTAAGAGGTCTACTATTATTACAGCTAACACTATGTGTGCAGGAAATTATGCCACCTCAAGTTATTGTTTCACTTAACTCTGCTATAAGATCTGAGAAGCTAAAGCAAGAATTAATCTTTCCTTCTGAAAGGCTTACGCTGCTGAAATCCCATGAATGCATCTTTCAAAATGTTCTAAATGTTAAATTGTTGATGAATTTTTGAAAACACATGCATATTCATTATTATCAAATTTGCAATGTTTTAAGTGAACGTTGTCTCTTTTCTCATGGTGAAAAAAGTGAGCGTGTTTATGCATAATAAGGATAGAGCACCAAGATAAAAAGACTTTGAAATTGACAGCTACCAGCGACGCGTCTAAAAATACCGCTGATAGCCGCAGAATTGTTGGTGAAAACTAATCCACTGACAAAAGCAATGGTCTTGAATGGCTTTAAGTTACCTGTTTCAGCCGTGAAAGCATTACAGTCTGAGATAATCCTCCCAAAAGCACTGAAAACAAACCTAAACATCTCAGTGGATATGCTAACTCTGTAGTCACAGAAGGTATAGAAAAAAAGAAAACCACCCACCGGTTAAACCAGTCGCTGCCCATCGAATGAAATGCAACTGGAGTTTATTCAACAACTGACGTGGAATCAGGTAAAATATTAAGTCCCATCATCTTACGGAGAGTAATGTATGCTGTAGATGCAGGCTGGATTCCTCAGAATCTAACTATATTCAAACCAAGTTGCGATACTACGCTTCACCATAAAAACGATCGTAGAATGGTGGTAAGCTCTGTCTCGAATTCACGGGCTTAGAAAATTCCGTGGAAAAATTCATAAAGCTGATAAAAGCCTTTGAAGTTAAGACAGGAGTAAGACAAGGCCGCTTGCTATCACCAATGATATTCTTGATTGTTGTGAACTGAATTACGCGGTAGGTGGTGGGAGGAGATAAAACAGGACCAGCTAAAAACACTGGAAGATATAGACTTTGCGGATGGTTTATGAATATTGTCCCACAAAATCAAGGATCTGCAGGCGAAAACAAACTGGTTGGCAGAAGACGCAGCCATAGAAGACAGGACTTCGAGTAAGCATGAAGACAACCAACCAATAACAGTAAAATCCAACTACTATTAGAGGGAAAAGTTTGAAACAGGTCACTTCCTTCCCTTCTCTAAACAGTATCCTATCAACTACAGGCAACGGCAAGTTGAGATTGTCAAAGCTAGAGTCGAAAAGGCAAGACAAACTTTCCTCACTCTGAAATCTTTTAGAAGTCTTCTGCACTCACCACAGAGAGCAAGTTCTTGGTTTTCAAAACATGTCAAGTTAGTTCTTCTATATTGACGCTCGAGTCACGGAAAGCATTTCCAACCGACTTCCTTTGCTGGCTGCATACTGAATATCACATAACAGGCCGGAAACATTTAGAAACAAGAAGCTCCGGAGGTGAATCAATCAAAAATCTATCGATCAACAAATATGTTGGAGACAGTTAAAATGCATCGAACTTACTATGAGGAGGCCACCGAGCTGCATCGCATACAATTTAGGCCCTCAAATTGAACGAGAAAGGGAAACAGCATGTTGGGCGTGGGTTTGAAATTCACTGGTCGGAAATCGTGTGGGGAGGAGACGAAAGCCGATGGAGGCAGCTGAATAATAATAGAATAGAATAGAAATAACTTCGTAGAACAGCCCTCTGTTCAACTAGGTACTGAAGTGAATACTGGGAATCTATAATGATAGGCAAAATAGGAGCTTATTTGTTTAAGAGAGAATGAGGCTGAAATGAAACTCAAACTGAAAGATTCTACAACGTTTGTCGTTAATTTCTGTGAAAATTATGCTTCATTACCAGCTGGAATGTATCTTGGTTTGTGAGTCTGAGGAAATGGAGAACAATAATAATAATTATCACAAAAAAATGATGCGAAATTCAATCTATTTGATAAATGCATATCAAATAAATATGCTCATCAAAGCATTTCCAGCTAGAATGCTATTTCGTAGATATATCACTAAATTAGTCAGAAAAGCGAAAGGTAACACAATTAGCCATGGTCGAAATAAATCACTCACAATATTACAAGTCATAATTACAATGAATTACCCACACATTCAATGATGATTCACGAAGGTGATAAATAAGACAAAATTAGGAGGCAATTTTAACATTTTTCAAAGATGCAAAAAAAAGGATATGTTCAAACTCATACATATTTTATCAACAGAATATTATGACTTATACGTGTATTACAATAGAAATAATGGGAAAAAAATCTCCCATCCCCCTCTTATTGGTCGCCTTAAATGAACCAATCGCATTCTTCTTTCCCCACTGATCATGATTAAACAACACAGAGTGATTATTTAACCACAGTCTTTTGTTTGGTTATGTTAAATTATGCAAATAAATTGAGTCTTTAGAATAAATAATATTAGAATTTTTATAAACAATATAAGCACGGATTTCAAGCCAAAGTTTTATGTATACAAATACATATATATAAATATATTTATACATACATATATTTTATTCAGAGGGAATATCTTTATCAGTGATGAATTGCTGAATAGAATGAAGAGAATATAATTAAACTCAATTCTGATCAGATTACATTGAATTGAATTGGATTGACTCAATAAAACTGTATATGTGAACTAGGAATATACAATAAGCATATATCCATAAGATTTTATGCTTTCGAAGCAATCTTCCCAATTTCACCATTCATTATTATTATATCTCTATGCTGGGAGAACAACGATCCAAATCCTTCGACAAATGTTAAAATGTAATTTTTGGAAAATATACACAGAGTTGAAAAATTAAAATTGCACACACATACACACACAGAAATAATCGGAAATAAATTATGCCACAAAGGAAAGGATTACTTGCACCACAGAATACATTTTTGGATACCATTGCGACAAGATTTGATGGAACTCGTAAGTACCTATAACATTTAGTGCATTTTTTTTTGAAGATGAAAGTTATAAATGTTCTCCTTACTATTAATACTACAAAGTTTTTATATATGTGTATACATGAAATGCAGAAATAAGGTTTTTGGTAGTTCAGATGCTCTTTGACATTGTTGTGTATTGTTGATGATATCCTCTGACATCTGTTTAAGAGTTGATTTTGATGACTGGTTGACTGACCGAGCTGCAAAGTACATCTTTCCACAGAAGTGCTATAGTGTGAATCGTCACAGTGTATATGGCAGACGAAGGTACAGGAAAATAAATAAAAAGAACTATAATGATCAGAAATATTCCAAAGGATTCAATGCATTTGAGAATTTATAGAACGTCAGTGCACTTGCTACGTAGAGAATGATTTTTATTTTCATTTATTTTTGATTAGAGCTTGATTACACACAGTATTTTTTGGTACAGGTATGGAATTTTCAGCATATGATATCGGTAGCCCAAATTTTTCAGGCCAAACATTGAAATCAGGTGTGAGTCGGCAATAGGTCGAATCCCGGACCATGTGCATGATCGGCAAGAGTCATAACCTCTGTGCCACCGACGCACAATGATTTTGGACCTTATCACAAATTGTCTCAAGCGATTAGCTCTTAGTGTGTGTAGAACCGCAGCCAGTCTATACCTGCACATGTATTTCAAACTAACGGTCAAAGAATTCATGGATTGATGCCATTTCTTCATATGGTTACTCCTAAATTTTCCCGAACTAAATCTTACATTAACTAAAATTGCCCCAAATGAATGATGGTGGCTGGGCACGCGTTACACGTATTCTAGCTACCTAGGTCAAAGTAGCTTCACAGTGTTGTCAATTAAACTAACTTCCTTATTTAATACTGTGCGTCTTACCTCAACATCGCTCACCATATTATATTTGCTAAACCTTCTGTATACGAGCAAGTGTTCATGCAGTAGTAGGCAATGTCGAACAACACACTGTTTTATAAAATAAGTTGTTTTGATTTAACACTGTACAGTATTAGGAGTTGACGTACAATGGCATTTAAAATTGCAAACTCACTTAGAGTCAAAATCTCTGAGCCTTTAAAAACCAAGTGACCCGATTTGGTTAAGTAATTTAATTTACTTAATACCACATTATGACTCTAAGATTGAGTGCACAGATCATTCCTATTGATCAAGATCTATCAGGTTATCAGAATGTTTGAAAATCTAGCCACGTCTAGAATGAATTATACTGACTGATTGAGTAATCTAAAAAGAAACTCAAGTAGTGTTGTCCACTTATTCATATTCGATCAAACTACTGTGAAGTTGAATCAAAGTATTGAAAAGAATGTCACGTGGATATATATCAAGACGATTATGAGCAGAAAAACAAGCTCAAAATGCTATCTGTTTATTAATTCTATAACACTGGGTGATACATCAAATTACCATGTATCCATCATTTTTCTTATTTTTTACTCACCTAAATTGTCAACTACGATAAACTTGTTAAGTGTATCCAATGAGACCTCATTATCTCGGACCCTCATTTGCACTGGCATGACCTAATAAATTTTTCAATATATGTCATAGTACATTAGTTATTTATTTTTTGAAGACACTTTTACAAACTACAAACACGATATACAATCAATCTAAAGGTGATATGGACGTTCAGAGAAGCTGAATGCTAAAGTGCCTGCTTCCATGATATTCAGCAAATGTTACAAATTACTTTACACTAACTAGAAAGGATGTAATTTTCGGATGAGTTTATATCGGTATACCTTTTTACCCTAATCCGAAGAAAAATCAGAGAAATATTTATGATCAGTAACCGTAAGACACAAATCCTATTAGTATGGCATATTTTGAGCCTAGGATTATTATGTTCCCCTTGAATTCCCAGTAGAACATGTGGCTCCAACTCCACTTTGTCCTATTCTTTGCAGGCTTCTTCACCTGGCTTCACGATAGCCCACAGGCTTTTATATCCTCTTCACATTATCTCCTACATATCACCCTCAGAAAAACGCCCAGCTCTCCGTTTTCTTTTCGGGTCTCACTGAAGCTATGTTTCGGTGGGTGATTCCACTCGTGGGTCTCCTCAGTTTATATCCAATCCATCTTTATTTTCTTCGAGAGATTTTTGTTGATCAGTAAGTTGTTGGTTGGTTCATTGACATAGTTGCTTGTTGTTAATTCTTCCTACCGGACCTTCGACATGGAGCCAGCCAAAGCGGCTGTTGATGAAAGCTTTCAGCAGGCTGTTGTTAGTGCTTTCTTTGATGCGTGCCACAAGTTTCTGACATTTATAAAGGAATTGACTTAATATTTGTGTACAAGATCTGAATCTTGCTCCTTATTCTAGTTGCAGAAGATTTCGGAACCAATTTCAGAGTGATGGACGTTTTACTTACCTTTCTGATTCTGTTTTCAAAATCCTTATCTGTACTGACTACCTGTATTTCAAACGATGCTTTTTAGATAAGTGAGGGGTATGACTTGTTTAACATTTCTTCTATTGACAGTGATTGGCTTTTGATGTTGTTGTTGGTCGGTTATCTTCATCAATTCCGTCTTCTCTGTGTTCCATTAAAGTTTTATTTTTGCTGCCAGACTCCTCTACTGACTTGTTGGATTCCACCTGTAAATCTTTGACCTTATACGACTTGGTCTAGGATGCTTAAGCGTTATGCACCGTATGGAAAATACTTTAGTTTTTGCGTAAAAAAGCACTTTCCCGAATCCTACAGTTTCCTTTAAAGTATTTTGGAGCTTGTCATACCTTAACATACCTGTTATTGTCGACTTGCCTTAGATATTTTAGTAATACGTTTCACGAAAAAGAGAGAGATGTTACATATATTTTGTGGAACCTGGATATGAAAAAGTTTTCTTATCCCCACTTTTGTTTTCTGTCACCGATAAACAAAAGGACAATAGCCTAATGTATTTAGTCCTAAAACAGTCGGTAAATATTCTTCCTGTTTTGGGAGTTTGTTTTCCACCTATTTTAATGTTTCACCACCGATTGTATGTCACATTTTTTTAAAAAGGACGAGTGCTTTGTTTTACTTAAGTTTATTTCAAAGATAAAAAAGTCGCATGACTTTAGTCTAGCCAGATAAACAAATCCAGGATTACGAGCGGACAAAATTAAACTCTCACCCGTGAAAAATGTTACTTCTTCAAACGTACCTTAAAATTGACTAACACACGCTTTAAATGTGTGAAAACTTTCAAAATAAACACTTTTGCGTACATTATAGTCAAAATATTTTAAATAAGACTAAGGTAACGACGTTTAGAGAAAATATGTAGGGAAATAGGTATAAAAACATTTCCATAGAAGAATTTTATTACCCTTGAAATCTTGTGAATAACTTATACGATATTGGATAAGTTCACTTCATATAATGTAAAGTGATACTGTATTAATATATATATATATATATCTTCACAGACATCGACAATTTCACGATATGCCTTATGAGACTGAAGTGATGCGTCGTTTCGATATGAACGGTGGTATGAATAATACTATTGTAAGATAATAGGAACTGTTGACTGAAAATGTGGTTATTGTCTGAAATGCATTCTCGGTAACATCCACAGATACACTATTATTCCCCTGGATTCCTAGCAGAACGTGGGATTTCTGTAGCACATCTCCGTTTCACTGTGTTACCAGCAGTCCTCTTCATCTGGTCCGATAATTCCCCACAATCTCTCATCTTTTCATCAAATGACTTACCACCATATCACCCTCTGACTCATGTCCAGCTTGTCATTCCTCGTTCGGGTTTACTCAAGGGTCTGTCTGGTGCATGATGTCACTCAACAGTCTCATCGACATGAGTTAGATCCATCTTTATTTTCAGCGGTTTACTTGTTGTACGATGCGTTCTTGGTTAGTTTGTTTCCAGAGCTCATCGCTGATAATCCTTTCTGGTCATATGGTTATCCGTATGCATCGAAGGCCTCTATAAATAAAACTTTGAACGCTCTGGTGACACATCAGCTCTATGAACCATACAGAAACAATGATTCGACATTAGTATGGAGGGTATGATTCTTCCTCCTTATGCTTAGTGCATGCAGTAGAACTCCACACTGATTACAGAGTAATGAATGTCTGCCTGGCTTTGACATCTCTATCCAGTCCATCTACGATTCAAAAGATTCTGCTTAGATGAGTGAAAGTGGTGATCTGCCATGTATAAACATATATATCTACAAAAGCTCCACAATTTCAAGATATGCCTCAGCAGATTGAAGAGATGTATCATTTCAATATCTGATGGAATTGTGGATGGAGTGTGGGTGGATGAATGTTCGTGACACGATACATGTCTCACTATCGGCACATTTATTTAAAATAACACATGACATCTTCTTACGAATGCTTGAGTTGTTTCACTTTCTTGTAGTGCCTCTCCAACACGTGATCGTGTCTTAAAATTCTCTCTCCATGCACTTTTAAGAGTTGAATTTACACAAATAGATTGACGTACATGTTAAAACTTATATTTGTATTTAGACAACGTCATCAATATGACGTCAGAAGAAATATTTTCATTGTTAACGAATTCTCTGTCATTCAACTTTTTTACTTGATATAAAATTTATCTCACAAGAAAACATCTAAAGTTTTGCAGTTTAAAAGCAGTTGTACTTCAGTAATCTGGAAAGACGAATTCAAGAGATATTTCGCAGTGTGTCGACATTCACATCCCATATTATGGGGTTCCATGGGTAAATCATCATTTTACGAGGAATGAAGTCTTCCTCATTTATTTAGGAAAATTAGAACTATCAAATGCTATGCCTTTAATTTCTCCCTAATTCTTTCAAAATTCATCTACCAATCAGTTAAAAAATCTGCAAGTTCTTATACTGTTCTAACATGGTCACTGACAGACTGCTACTAGTAAGTGTATATAGTCCTACTCCTTGCTGTTGTTTTACTGCAATTTAGCACACATCCACTGACAGCCATT